CGCTGAAGCTATGCTGGCCCGATCGCCGCGTGGTGTCAGTAGACACATGCACTTTCGAGAGCAACCGAGGCAAGGAGGGTCGGTCCCCCGAAATTGATGGGAGGACCCCGTGATGCGGTGCTATACGTGTACAGATTCGTTGTTCGTACGGCTGCAGCAGTGCCGGTGACGCAGACGCGTGATGCTTTCTTTACATACAGTCATGAGTACACCCAGCAGTTGAAGATCTACTGTACGCGTCTGCTGGTGAGACACAAGCCACTCGGCTTTCACCGGAAGGGGAATTCAGACCGGGCCTCGCCGGAATGACGAACAACATACATGCAGCAGCCAACGTCGACACCGCCGCTGTGGCCGTCGAACACTCGACTGGTCGCACTCATGACTCGCAGCCTTCATAAGGATGTGATGTAGCGACATGCTCATCGAGTCAGAGTGTAATAATCACATCAGACCATCCAAGCTGCTCACGGAGCCCCTATGATTGATCAACTGAAAATGATCTGGAACGGATGTATTCGGGCGGCCTTCCAGATCACCGCGCGCTTTGTACCGTACCGTACCGTACAGCAGAACGCGTATGCTCGCTGCATTCACGGTTGCACCGGGCATCAGCAACACGCCGCCGATCTTGCAGCTCGCAGCAATTAAGGAACGTGTCACCTGAGCAAGCACGCACGCGCACACCACCCATCGGCTGCGCATACACCAGAGTTGGGAAACCGAAGAGGTTGCCGAAGAAGGCTCGCTTGTGCGTGCTCAGCAGTGGGCAATGTGAATGTGATCGTACAGTACATGAAGCCCAAGCACCAAGTCACCAGTGGCTTGACAACGGCCGAGTTTGTGTGCGGTGGCACGAAAGCGTTTGAGGTGTGTGGGCTGGTCCCTAGACGCTTTGGAGTTCAGCGCACACGCCACGACGAAGTGAATGATACCGCGCCGGTCTGGGCCCAAGCGCGCAGCTCGCTCTCAAGAGGTGGTGGTGCGCAGCATCTGTGCTGTCTAAGCATGGCCCATGAGCTTCGTGCTAAGTCTAAAAGGCTGACGTGATTCAGGGATTCACACTTTCGCTGCGCAAAGCAAGCTCATATCAGTCACGAGTTGCGCACCTCGGCGTCTGGCTGCATCTCAGCTAAGGTGGTGAACTCCGCCGCCGCCGCCGCCGCCGCCGCGATACTTTTGACTCGCGACTTGCGACTGACTGACTGACTGCATGGCCGATTTGATTAGGATTTAGGGGTCCCTTGCGCCACAGCTGCATTGCAGCAAGACGCGCTGATGCTGGTGCTGCGCGTGCTGTAGTGCGACCACGCGATTGATGGGTGCGTCCGTGAAAGATGCAGATTGAGAACGTCGGCGGCGCTTTGCGACAAAGATTTCGATCCTGACGATTACGACGCGTCGAGAGGAATCTCGCGAATCACAAGCACAATGTGAATGTCCCCATATGCAGCAGCCATGTGCACCATGCAAATGGGCTCTTCTTGATCTGGTGTCATGCGTTGATATCGATCACCTCGGCACCAGCACGCTCACAACTTTCGCCTTTGCCATACAATGGAGTGCGCGGTCCCTGTCTAAACTGCTTGATGCCTCGCGTGTTGCGCAATGGTCAAATGGACCGGAGTCGGCACAGCTGCGAGCCGAACCACGAAAGCATGCAAGGACAAGTCTTATCCGTCGCGATCTGGTGTGCGAACAGATTGCAATTTTTACTGCTCAGTCGCCGCGTGACTCATGTGATGGCGTGACGTGACGGACGTTTCAGGAACGGTCCTCCTCCCGATCATGCCGAAGGCTCGTTCGTGAACCGGTACTGTGTACAGCGCGCTTCCATCCTTGTCGACTCACCGCTCGTACGCACAAAGATTTCGCGCTTGTACACTCAGCATGCAGACGTTTGAAAGCTCGACCCTCATCTCATATAAAAGGCTTGCTGCCTCAGAATTGCCACCACGCTACGCCTCAATACATGCACGACCAACACCTCAGCATTGCCAGCACTGCCAAAATCGGTCGAACTGATCTTCGTCGAGCATCACGGTCAAAGGCGATTACAGTGCCTTCTCCCACTCCCATTTTACACTATCAAGCTCATTAGTGGGGCAGCAGTAAATTACAACACTGCAATCGGTCGTTGACCAAAGCGTACCCTCATTCTTCCCTCAAATCTACCTTTCTCGTACAGACAGCATGACGCTCCTGGAAGCCATTCGTCACAAGAAGCCCTCGGCCTCAAACTCGAGACGCGATTCAGCAGGACACTCGTTGGCGTCACAGCGAGCTCTGCCGCCGCTGTCGCATTCTCAAGGAACAACGCCGGCCTCTTCGTCTCCCAACTCTCGTCGTTCATCTTACGACTGCGGCTGCGCTCAAGATTCGCCCATTCCAGGTGCCTACGTGGTACATTCCCCAACGTGCGACTCGCACCATCAGTCCGGCGTCGCCGCCTCTCACAGTCCGGACTTTACCAGGTTGAGAAAGTACAGAGGGCCAAACACCTCGGCAGGTGCTTGCGCTGTGTACCACAGCGAGCCGGTCGGTAGTCCTCGGACCTCGGAGGAGGTCAAGAACGCGTACCTCGCTAGCCAAGCTACCTCGGCCAATCGGACTCATCACCATGGTCACAGTCCTAACCTCGCCATGACTCCTCTACCGGGGCCGCATGGTGGGGCCAACAGAATTCAAGCCCAGGCGCACTGAATCCGTTTGCACGACGCAACATCATTTATCGGTGCGCCGCTTGGTCTACAATGATGCCAGTCAAGCTCATTCATTTCGGCACACTTCGTCTCGTCCTCGAGGCCCTACTTCCCCCGTCGATCACTCACCCAACAGACTCGGCACACCAGGGTCATCTTCGGATTAGAGGCTTTTCCTAGTCCATCGTGCCGTATTTTCCACTTGTGTGCTTCAGCCTACTGTGCACTCGACGGCCTCACGCTCAGTGATGCCTGAATGGAGTCGACCAACCTGTCAACCAGGTGAACATTTTGCAGCTCACCCTCAGGTCAAGACATTCGTGTCAGCAACCTTGGCGATCGATCCTTCTTTGATCCTCGCTCATGCCCTTTCTCTGGACACCAACATACCCCTCAGTCACCTTTATGTACACCAGATAGATGAGATCTTATAGAGCACACGTCGCAATTGATCACCATTCTCAACCCGCGTTCGAGATCAGAATTTCAATGTTTGAAAGGCCAATTGATTGGGTGTGGTTGTC